CGCAGTAACAGTGGGAGGCTGTTCCGGGCGAGGAGCGATCCCCGTCCGCGATCCCGGCCCCACCCGAGAGCCCGGGCGCGCAGTCCCGCTGCTGGTGGAGTGGGAGCGTCCATCCTGCGACCGCGTCCTCGCTGATTCTCGCCTCCTGTGAGGCACGAGTTTTTCTAAAGAGAAATCGCACGGTTCGTGTTGGACTTGGGGCTGTGCGAGCTGGTCCCTGGAAGAAGGGAAAGAGGGTGAAGAAAGGAGGTGCCAAGAAAGACAGCGACGTGGGGAGTGGGGGGGAGAAGAGCAAAGAGGGAGCGAGCGCAGCAGAGAGAAGCGCTTTGCTGTGGGGGCGGTGGGAACTAACAACGCGTTCTGGGACAACCAGCGCTCTCCTTCCAGTCGTCGTGAGAACTCACTGAGGCTACTTTGTTCAGACGTAGAACCTCAGAAGCTAAGAAATCATTCGAATCCAGCCCGGGGTTATTTGTGATTAAAACCGCAATGATACAACTGCAACGGTGCGTAGACAGCTATTGGCAGCTAAAACAAACCCTGAGCAGTGAAATGAGCAGCAGTGAGGGAGGGATGCCGCCTTTTGTTGCTTTTGTAGGCATTCTTTCTCTGTCTGTCCTATTTTTGAGGGTTTAATGTGTTAAGGATGGCGAACGCGCGTTTTAAGCCAACGCTTTTGGCACGGGAGGTAATAGGAATGCCTACAATAAAGTAGTCCTCATTCTAATAGAATTAAAAATGGCAGTATTTCCCTCTGTTGAGCAGATTGGTTTCTTTGTGCAATCAGTAATCTAGCCGCTTGGGTTGCCGGATTGGGATGGGTGGGTGGAAAAGGTGAAGGGGATGGAGAAGTGCAAACTGCCAGTTATAAAATCATACAGCGTAGGGAGTATCGTCAATAATAGTGTAATAACTCTGTAGAGTGTCAGACGTGTGCTAGCCCCATCGTGGTGATCACTTCACAGGGTATGTAAGTGACTATCACTATGTTTTACATTAACATAATATTGAATTGCAGCCATAATTAGAAAATAATGTAGCCACTTTGGGAAGGGAAGAAGGGAATTAGCGTGGTGTCCCTGCTAGGTGTCCCATCGGCTATGCTTTACAGAACAGCAGATGTAGTCCTTACAGTGTCCAAATGCATCAAGCATTTTTAAAAAAGCATGTTAGGATGAAATATACACAAGATTTATTACTTCAACCATTTTTAAGTGGACAACTTGGTAGCGTTAAGTTTATTCACATTGTGTTACAACCATCACCACCATCCATCTCCAGAACTCTTTCATCTTCCCAGACTGAAACTCTGTAGCCATTAAACAATAACTCCCCATTCGCCCTTTCCCTCAGACCTTGGCAACCACCACTGTACTCTGTCTCTATGAATTTGAGTACTTTAGGCTTCTCATACAATATTTGTCTGTTGCAACTGACTTACTTAACTTTGCATAATGTCCTCAAGATTCATTCACATTGTATCATGTCAGAAGTTCCTATTTTTTATTTATTTAATTCAAACAGCAGTCTTTTTAAAATTTTTATTGATTGATTGATATATCGGTAGAAGGGAGGGAGGGTGGGAAGGGGAGAGAGAGAGAGAGAGAGAGAAAGAGGGAGAAGGAGAAGGAGAGGGAGCAGAATTTCCTTCCTTTTTATGTATATATCATATCTTGTTTGTTCATTCATCCATCGATGGGCATTGGTTGATTCCACCTTTTGGCTATTGAAAATAATGCTACTTGAACCTGGTGTACAACTATCTTTTTAATTTGTTACAGAAGCAAAAGAAGGACCCTTGGAACTTAGGAGAGAGAAAGGCAAAGGTAATACACCCTGGGGGAAAGGAAGGCCAGGCGTGTTCCCAAGAGGGAGAGTGCACCCAAACTTTTTAATATTTTGATGAAGTGCAATTTATCTATTTTTATCTTTTGTTGCCCATGGTTTAGTGTCATATCTGGTAAATCATTGCCAAATCTGATGTCGTGAGGCTATTTTAAAACACACACACTTATTTAGGTAAACTGAATTAAAAATCTGAGACCTGCTTTGAGGTGAAAACAGGAGAAATCTACACCGAGTGGCCAGATTATTATGACCACCCCATCAGTACTTCATTGACACATCCCAAAATACTGAATATTGAAAACTTCCTAAGCAAATACTCTCAAGGTTTTATTATTATTATTATTCGCATAACTAATTCACTTCATTTTCATTGTACTGATGGGGTGGTCATAATAATCTGGCCACTCAATGTAAGTACCCATAGGCATCCTGCCACGCTTGGGTTACACAGTTCACAGTGTATTTTTCTTTTTCTGATGAGAACACTTAACATGTTATTTAACCTGGCTAAATAATTTATCCAAGAACATTCAACTTGTAGGTGGAAGGCAGATTTTGAATACAACTGAATTCCAACACTTTTGTTAAATTATTAAGTCCTCACAAAAGTGTAAAGGGATAGAAGTTATTAGTCCCCTTTTATTGTAATAAAACTGAGGTTCCACATGTTAAATTAATTGTTCAAGATTTCACAGTTGAACAGGTTCCCCCTCTTTTATACACGTAACTATCTTTCTTTATTTCCTTTTTCTTAATTGATTTGAGAGAGAGACATTGATTGGTTCCCTCTCACATGACCAAACTGGTGATCGAACCTGTAACCTGGGTACGTGCCCTGACTGGGAAGTGAACCCACCACCTTTTGGTGTAGGAATAATAAAAGTGTCATATGCTAATTAGACTGGACAGCCAAACGACCTTCCGGACGTCATTCCAGACATCCTTCCGGACGAAGCTTTGGTGGCAGGGGCCAAGGCAGAGGCGGTTAGGGGTGATGAGGCAGGCAGGTGAGCAGTTAGGGGCAATCAGGCAGGCATGCAGAGTGGTTAGGGGTGATCAGGCAGGCGAGCGATAAGGAGCCAGTGGTCCCAGATTGCGAGAGGGATGTCCGACTGCAGGGATCAGGCCTAAACTGGCAGTCGGATATCCCCCGAGGGGTCCCGGATTGTGAGAGGGTGCAGGCCAGGATGAGGGACCCCCCTCATGCCCGAATTTCGTGCACCGGGCCTCTAGTGTAATAATATTTCACACAAGTTCTCTGCCCACTCACAATGTTTATATCTTGCTGCCCTTCCTCTTGCCATTCTAGCATATTTGACAGGAGCGGTTCTTGGTCTGGGCATTTCTGAGGAGACTCAAGAAGCTGGGCATCCTCTCTCACTCTTGCCACAGTCTCCTTGTGGCCACAGCAGAAAAATCAGTGTATATCTGCCCCTTTCATAAGCCAGACCTAATAAAGAGGGTTGGGTCTGAGTTAGTGGGGACATGTAGAATGTATAGAGTGTGTGGAGACAGGTCCTCTTGCCCACTCATCCACTCTGCTACCTCAGCTCAGACCCACCAGCTCCACCACTGGGGCAGACAGAAGTTCAGTCTGCAGCCTCCCTCACAGCCACTCGACCACCCAGCAGAAGTAGCAGCAGCATCTCCCCTCCCACGCAAATCAGGCCTTGCCCCCTTCACACAGTGGAGGCCTACCCTCCTCCCAGCCTCATCAGAGGTGACATGGAATTTGGGTCTCCCTCCCTCCAGGTGAGATGGTGATGCTTCTCGCAGGCACGAGGACCTATGTCACCCCTGAGTGGGCAGGTTTGATAACCACTGTTACCTTCTAAGCCCCTTTCTGCCATCACATGATGGAGCCATGTTGCTGGGTTCTAAGTCCAAAGAATTCAAATACATGATTCTGTTGGATCCCACCAACCACCAGGAAGAAAAAGAAAGGTGCACAGAAAACTAGGTAAGTCCTTACTCTGGTGTATAGTGGAGGGTCAACTTGAGAGCTACTGTGACTCTCAAAGGGGAGACTCCAGAAGCCTTGTTCTCTGGTGAGCAGGGAACAACTCAAGCACTGCTTTTGCTCAGCAGTTTCCATTTACCACGAGCCCTAGATACTAATATCCTAGCTCTTCAGAAACACTTCCAAGGTGCTTACTTTCACATGAAACCCTTAACATGCTGGGTTAAAAGTTAAATTTTGCTCCAAATTCTCGAACATACATTGGTTTCTGTTTCCCAAGTATACAGGCACCCATGCTTTAGAATTAGGGAGAATTGTTCACATCACTGAATAACAAATAAAATCATTTAGTGCTTTGCCTGTGGTATGTACACAGTTCATATTTTATCTGACGTGAGAAAAGTCCAAAGAAGGTGGGATCGTCACCTGTTTGTTTATTCAGCAAATATTTGTTGAACACTTACCATCTGGGGGACAGTCAGTAAGGCTCCGGGGCTAAAATGGGTTACCGGACAGACCTGTCCTTAAAGCTCTTACCGTGTGGAGGAGGCCAAAGTGTTTACGGGTTGAGCTGTGTCCTAGCAACAAGATATGTTGAAGTCCTAACACCCGGTGCCTCAGAATGTGGCCTTATTTGGAAATAGGGTCTCTACAGAGGTAATCAAGAGAAAATGAAATCATTAGAGTGGGCCCTCATCCAGTATGACTCAAGGGAAATTGGACACAGAGACAGACATAAATAGAAATGCAGCCTTAGACCAGTCAATCAGGAACACCTGATCGGCATAAGATGGGCAATCTGCTGATCGATG